TAAAAAAAAAAAAAAAAAAAACCCTAAAAATAAAAACTTAAAAAAGTAAAAAAATAAATAAATTAATAAATAAATAAAGTGGATGGAGCCCCTCCCGGCACAGAGGGAGGGTTCGAGCAGTGACCAATGGGATTGGCCTAGGGAAGGCAGCATGGTTCGCTTCAAAGGAGTCTGTGTACTCAGTGGGGTTGGGGACAAAGTTTATGAACCCTTCCTGATGTGTTCACCATCCCAGGCAGATGGCGTTTGTGGATGACGTATCAAGGAGGTGTTGGCTTACTTCTTGAGGTGGATCATCAGGTATCGGAGGGTCTCATAGTGGGCAGGGGGCAGCAGCATCAGCAGTTCGTGGACAGCTTCCAGCCTCTCATCTGCATTGGAGATCTCTATAAGAGCACACATAAGGCGTTAGTGCGGCGCTGACACGTGAATCTTTTCAGAGAAGTAACAAGTTTGGTTGGTTCTGATTGCAGATGGAGGGGAAGTCACAGAAGTTCAGGCCATTGCAGGTAACCTTTCCCTTAAACTCATCAATTTGTTTGTGTCTTGCTTTATTCTAGAACGGCCTGGACATTGGGAACCACACATGTATCCAGTGTCCACTGGGTGGGCGTCAGGAGGCTGGACCGGGAAGGTGCACTTGTGTTCCCATCAGGCATCTTATGAGTATACTTACCTTTAAATATAGTTTTTATAAATAATTCCTCACGGTGTGCTTGATTTCTGTGTCATGCATTCTAGCACCTGAACCTCTCCTTCCTCAATCTGTTCCTGGGCAAAGTGCAGCACCACTGCCCATCCCCACCCCCCCCACTCCTCTCTCCTGACAGCAATCAGCCCACGTGCCAGACACTAAATGCGCAACTGTGGGCAGAAAGAAGACTGAGGATGATGGTGTTCTTTTCCTGGCCCTGTGAGCTCAGCTCTCTGAGCCCAGCTTTCCTGCTTTGTGAAATGGGATCATGAGGTTTGCCTCGTCGGGTAGATGAGACGCTTAAACTAGAGGATGTTAGCGAGAGGTCTTGATCTGGTGATCGGTGGGTAAAACGTGGGGCCTGACTTTAATCAATTAGCAATGGAGGGTCTGCTTAATGGATGAAAGCAGCTAACCTGTAGAGTCCTCACTGAAGAACATGTGACTTTTTACTCAGAAACATTCTTGCTTTCTGCAAAAGAGTGCACATTCTTGCACAGCCCTGACTGTGCCGGTTCCCAGGATAGAAGCGACGATGATGTGCAGAGAGAACTGCCTGGTGCCCAGTTTCTCCACTGAGGGGTTGGCTTGGTACCGGTTCCACTCAGCTAGCGAACTGTGCCTGGTTTTCTATGAATTCTGTCACTGTGCCCTCACTTGGCAAAGCAGGTGCTCATGCAGTAACTTAAACAGTCCTGAGTTTTAATTGTCTTGAGGGTAAAAGCTTTATACTTAACAATTTGGTATGAATAAAAGATTAGCTCTCAATACTTACTCGCTGCTTCGATAAATTTGGGGTAGGTGTCATAGGTGATAACAGGAATGGGTAAGTCTCTGAAGTACAGTTTAAGGGCTCCAGTGATGATGTTTATGTCTGGATAGATGTTGGCAGATATATCTGCTTTTTCACCATCTGAAAAATGATCAATGATCCAATGCCTAGTTAGGACCTATTTCGCCAAGTTAACGCACGGCCATAAAGAAAAAACACAGATCCAACATTGAATGCAACGCGCCCGTACAAGTCCAGCTGACTACTCTTGCTTCTAATAACACTGACGTGCAGGAAGGAACACAAAGACGTTCGGGAAGTGGTTTTGGGTCTGAGAGTAAGTGTAGCCAATAAGGTAGTGAAATTGACTGAAAGTCGTTCTTTGGACCCAGCCTCTGGTAATTTGCTAAATAGAAATGTAACATAGTAATTAATATTCCAGACACAAAAGTTCATAGTATAATAGCAATCTAATCTGACCTAATAATTTAAAAAATTGAGAAGCTTTTATATAGCTATGCCAATATTCTTTGGATTTGAAGATCACAGACACAACATAATAGTTGACTATCTTCAGTTTCAATTCTCTTTCAGGCTCATGACGTTTCTTTTATCTTGGCTCTTTCCTCTCTGTCCCTAGGACTTTAATCTGGGAACCCGTGACCCTCCTTCATGTATAGGTAATGGTGTATTCTAACCTTTTTTTTTTTTTCTTTTTGAGAGAGCATGTGAGCTGGGAAGGGGCAGAGAGAGAGGGGGAGAGAGAATCTTAAGCAGGATCTATGCCCAGCACAGAGCCCAACGCAGAGTTTTAGCTCACAATTGTGAGATCATGACCTGAGCCAAAATCAAGAGTCGGACACTCAACTGACCGAGCCACCCAGGTGCCCCTTTTACCATCACTCTGAAGACATGTTTTGACTTAAAGTTACAATCCTATCGAGACAATTAGCATTTTCTTTCACATAGAGAAAAGAACAAATGTCTCATCAAATTTGGTACGAGGATTAAAAAAAAAAAAACTGCCGATGTACAGAAAACAGTGAGCGTAGCAGATATGTCATCTGATCCCATTACTTACAGATTTAACAAATACCTATTGAGAATCTACCATGTACTAGGCACTGTTAAGCCCTGGTGAGTCAAAGACAAAAAAATCACGTATTCTCTTCTCGTAGCTCTAGTCAGAGTGGGAGTTAGGCATCCATCTCAACAGTTACAAGGAAGTGGGAAGCTTGCTAGGCTGGGAGGCATGTGAAAACATGGGGGTGGGGGGCACAGGAAGGGGCAGTCAGACTCTTAGGTCAGGTGGGGTGCTCAGGGAGGATTCATGGAAGAGGAAGCACTTGAACTGACACCTGATTAATAGGTAAGCGTTTGCCAGGCAGAGACGTGAACACATTCTAGATGGACAGAACAACGTGAGCCAAAGTACTTGTTCATGAAAATAGTAAGGTGCATTTCAGGATTGCAGGGGCATAAAGTACACAGGGAGGAGGAATGGGCCATGAGCCTGAATAGATGCAGTGGCCAGATCATCAGAGACCTCCTCTGCTGTTCTACAGAGAGAAGGTTCTCTCTAGGAGGCTAGGGGTTCCAGCCTTTGAGTGGCTTCACTACAATTATTTGGACTGTTCAGGAGAAATGTAGAATGAAAACACTAATTCCGAAAGAAATGTGCACCCCTGTGTAGACTGTAACATTGTTCACTAGACATAGAAGCAACCTAAGTGTCCACTGATGGATGAATAAAGAAGATGTGGTTTACGTATATAACAGAATAGTTTTCAGCCATAACAAAGAGTGAAATCTTGCCATTCGTGTGAACACAGATGGACCTTGAGGGAATTATGCCAAGTGAAATAAGACAGAGAAGGAAATACTGTATGATCTCTCTTATACACGGTATCTAATCTAAATCAAACCAAACCAAAACCAAGCTCATAGATACAGAGAACAGATTAGTGATTGCAGGAAATAAGCGGTGAGGGCTGGGAAAAATGGGTGAGCTGTTCGTTGTTTTTCTGTTTAAATAACTTGAATAAAAATTAATAAATATAGATTCTTGGGCTCACCTAGCTTTCTCAGGGACTCCCCAGGGCAGCCCCTGGTGATCCCTGCTTTTAACAAGCTCCCGAGTTCTCTGACCTAGAAGATAACGTGGCCTAGAGAACCTGTGTCACAGTTATAAACAACAAAAGTGGTTACTTCCTAAACTTCCACCAGCCTCCCCTGTTTCAGTGTTAGGCATACCCCCATCCATACGCTCTGTTCTTGGGAGTTCTGGGGGGAAAGAGAAGCGTCACTTAGATCCTCAGCTGGGGATGTACGAGGTGCCATGTGTATTGACTATAAATGTTGGGCAACCAAATCAAGAGTCATAACGGCACCAGATGCTGGCGGCCCATTCAAGAACTATTTTAAACACACAGAGTCACTTGTCCACAATTTTTAAGGAAACACTTCCCCCAGAAAGGGGAAGAACTACGTGATCTGTAAAAGCCATCATTCCGTGGCTTCTTGAGCAATAGCTCTCAGTAGCTATTGCTAATATAGCTATTGCTATTGCTAATGGGGAAACCCATTCCCACTATGAATAAAATGTGCTTCCGAAAGAAAGGGCGCCAAGCACGAGTCATTCGGCATTCAAGGAAGATAAAGCCCACCTCTGTCAAATGCCATTTTGACATCTTCAATGTGTTCGGCAAACCCGGAGACTCTGTAAAGGCCTTCTGACTTCAGTCCTGTGGGAGAAAAGAGATTTAGCTTCCTGAAATATCTACAGATGGCTTGAATTCTGTATATACATGGTGTGCTATAAATGAGAAAAATACAGTCAGTGCTCTTGTATGTCACACACTGTCACACTGAACAGAGCTGTCTCTGGGCCTGCCCATCTCAGTTCCCAGGCAACTCTGTCTTTATTTGCTTGGGCTGCAGTGGAGACCTCGGGGATCTGGTCGTCTTCCTGCCTGGCTTCACAAAGGGAGCTCCCATTTCAGATTCTCACCAACCTTGGCCTCCGGCTTCCTTTGTTCATCAGACGACTGGATGAGATTTCACTCCTTCAGGTGGCAGTCCATGCTCTCCCCAGCATCATCTTAACCCATGTGCCCTACTGCGTGCAGCACGGTGCTAGGTATATACACATACGCGGACACATGTGTCTGACATATATTATCTTGACTTTACCGAAACAATCTAAATTTTACAGCCTTTTTTGTCTCATCGTACATATGATCCTATGTTCAATGCTTAACTAAACATGATTGATTCATTCATTATTACTCCTTCAGATAAAGGATCGTACAAACAGATGTGGAAAAATAAAATTTGAGCGATGATTCTGGAAACCTGATTGCTGTATATTTGGGCTAAGAAGATGTGATTTCTACTCCTAGATCTTAGTGATTTGTTAAGATATGTCCTAAGGTCTCGCCAGGACCCCAGTGTATCCACAGGGATAGAGGGTCAGATCTCAGACCTTGCGCGTAAGAAACTAGCTGCTATCAAACTGTAGCTACAGCAAAAATAAGCGGAGAAAAAGCTTCTACAGCTGTTGCAGAATAGTGTGTCGAGCTCTTGATAACAGGAACTTTCGCTGTATAGAAGTATGTTCTTTCCTGTTTCTCACTTGGGAAATATCACGTATATGCTACCTGCCATATATAAGAGTCTGCATCAGAGACAACAAATGCATGGCGTGCATCCTGTTGTGCCTCCCCTCTGACCATCAGAGACCTTCTTCACGGACCTCAGCTGCATCTCCCACTGAGCCCCACTCAGTCTCGGAACGCATCTCAGTATGGTTGCCCAGGTTGCCATACTGATTAACTGGGTTGGTCCACAAGATGAGCGAGAACTGGCGGCATCCTGTTCTGGTTAGCGGTGCCTGTGAGCACGCCGCACCGTGGTTGTAACCTGCACGTGACACAGGCGAGGACACGGTGGCACTCAGGAGCCCAATGCAGTGAAGACTAACCCTGCCTGTTTGTTGATGGAAGAGACCATGGAGAAGGTCTTACTGAAGAGCTGTTTTTGAAGGAAGGCATGAAAGATAGACTGGAGTTTGCCAGGCTTCCAGCTCCCCTTGCAGGATCAGTTCTCCCCTTCCTCTGCTGTGGTGGAAACTTTCATTTTCAGAACAGCATCCATTGCCACGGCCATTACATTCCGGCTAATGTGAAGAAAGCACAAGTGCTGTGTACTGTGCCTGGGTGGCAGACTTGAAGGGAAAGAGCGTGCCTGCCTCTCTGCCCTTGGCTGGCACGCCGACGGGATGGTTGTGGCCACCTGAGACAAGGGCAGCTCTCGAGGACGACAGAGCACCAAGTTGCAGGGCCTGGGCTCCTGCCCTCCGGGAGCTGCTCACCTAGCCCTGGTCTGCTTCCAGTGTCGGGACTGTTACTGGAGAGGAACGGATTTCTGGCTTGTTGCATACACTGTTGTTTGGGGTCTCCATGACAGCACGGGAACACACGTGGGGAGTAAGGCAGCCAGACAGACACCTTTGAATGTGGAGTTAGGACAGGTGGTCATGTTAAGAAAAGGTAAAAGAAATAATGAAGGTTGAGTCCTATATGTTGGGCCCTGTTCTAGGTTATTTATATGGATCAGCTCATTTTAACCCTCACAACCACCGTATGAGAGGTGACTGATTCCATTCACTTGATGGGTGAGGAAACATTCAAATGGAGCAGGCAACCTGGCCAAGGTCACACCACAGTGAGTGTGAGACAGGGCTGGGAGTCTAACTCCATGTCCACGACCTTTTGGTTTGGGACATCATGCAGAAACAGATGGCCAAGAAAGAGCATTTGCAATACGGAATTTGCACTGGATGGACCATGAGATGAGACTTTGGCAGAGGCGGTAGCAAAGCTGCGGACGGGAGTCATGTGAATTTCTTCCAGCCTGTTCCCTGGTTCTGCTCACACGTGCAGGATGCTACTGCCTGAAGCTCCAATTCCTTCGCTGTGGCTTCCCTGGTGGACATTCCTAATCTGTGCATTACAGCTCTTGTACTAGGCATGCTTAGTGCGATGTTCCCCATGGACACATCAGACATTAGACATGGCGGTAACTTTGCTCGAGGCATTCGTTGCCTCTGATGAGGATCACTGTGGGATGAGACCAGCTTCTCCAGAGAAGCTGAGGTCCTGAGTCCAGGCTCTGGACAGGCTGATGCTCTGACCCCAACTTGCAGTGCCCTCTAAACGATAGGACCCAGGGATACTTTTCCCAGCTACTCATCCAGAGGCAGGGCATCCCCTTCTCGACTCTTACCTAGCTCAGCCCCTGCAGCAATACCTTCCCCAGATCCCAAAGCACCCACTGAATTCTGACATATACAGCAGTCAAAAGACAGAAGGCATTTCTTACAAGTTGTGATTAAATGAGCTAGTGTTAAGGTAACAGAATAGCTCTAGTTTTCATCCTATGTGAAAAAGGGAATAGTTTCCTCTATAAGGCTTGGGATAACAAACTATAATGTCCTCTCTTGTTTTGTTTTGGAAAGAGTGGGATAGTTGGCCAATGCATAAATATGTGTAGATTATATTAAGCCAGTTTGGATACAATAACAGGTCCCAACTACAGCAGAGTCCCTACATGGCAAAAATGGTTAAAGCCTCTGGCCTTTATTCCTGCTCTAATTATCCAAGTTACATCCAGCAATCCAAGTTCTGCCCAAACAGGCTTGATCCATCATATCACTGAAATTTTGATACTGCAGAGTAGCCCAACAAAGTACACATAAAGGAAAATGGGAGTCAGTCATACTATGAAAAACCTCTTCATTGAAATGTTTCTATCTGGGTTCTTGATTTTTCTTTACCTAGATCTTTTTAATATTTCATTTTCCTCTTTAAAACAAACAGAACCAATACTAGCAGTGAATTTCTATATGGTAGGACATGTATGTGTTGATCAATAGCTTTTTTACTTATTTAAAGGGATCATTTTTTTTTCTTTTTTAAAGGGATCACTTTTGAAGACTCCATTCAGACCTCACCTCTGCCATAAACCCTCTCTGGGCTGTCCTCAAATAGCATTGAAATGTTTTCTTCTGTGACTGCATGGTGTTTTGAATACACACACCTTCAATATTGATTTATTTACCCCTCTGATTCTTTTCTCTTTAACATTTATTTTTGAGAAAGAGAGAGAAACAGAGGGTGAGTGGAGGAGGGGCAAAGAGAGAGGGAGACACAGAATCTGAAGCAGGCTCCAGGCTCTGAGCTGTCAGCACAGAGCCCAGTGCAAGGCTCGAACTCACAAACTGTGAGATCATGACCTGAGCTGAAGTCAGAGTGAGCTGAAGTCCAACGCTTAAACTGACTGAGTCACCCGGAACCCCTACCCCTCTGATTATGCACACTACAGTATCCATTTCTGGAAGGTGAGAACTGTGACATTATATCAATGTGTAGCACCTAATAAATGCTTAGCAAACATGTTGAATGCATACATGCAAGGTTTAGGTACAAAACAGAAACTGATGTCACTGGTTGGAGCTAGCTTATTTCTGTGCGTGTGTGTGCACATGTATGTGTGTGTGTTGGGGCAGATCATTTCCCCAACATCAATAGTGGAGAGTCAATTTAACAGTTATAAGGAGGTTTCCTTGACAACACTATAAAGAAACAGTAAAAATAAGATCACATAATAAGGAGTTTTTTCCAAACCTCTTGCTTCAATCTCCCGTATGCATAAGTCCACCACCATGGGTCTCTGAGTGTTGTGAGCCTTTACAAGTGTTGTGAGGTCACAACAGTACACCTTCTTGATCCTCTTGAGATCAGGTTGACAGTCATTGGGAACATGCTTGGAACATTGTTTATGTACGTTCAATCCACAGTCTGTAAACAGAGAAGCCACATTAGCCTTGCCCGGCCCTTTTGTCAAAGCTCAGCACAAATTACATGTTACCAAAAACAAAAATGAAAACACCCAAGGGTTCGCTGTATCTTTCTGGAACATCCATCCCATTTGGGGGTGATGTTCTCCACACGTGAGTATGACTTATCTTTACTCACAAAACTCTTATAGAATTCCATTTTTCTCATCTAGCCTTTTCTGTTGTTGGGCCATAAGAATAGAACATTTCACTGAGATTGTTTAGTTCTGATGATTAGCTAGGTTTGCGCTTTCTTGTTTCTCTTTTGGGACTGGAACCTTTGGGTCCATCTGTGGACTTGTGGGTTTGGATTCCTAGAGCTCATCTTGGCTCGTAAAGGGCATGTAGGACTTATGCTAGGTTGTTTTCCTAAAGTTCCGGATGCTCCTTTTGTGGAAGACATGATTACTCTCTCTGTAGGAATCTCTGATCTTTGGTCTCTGGGACCCATGACCATTGGCATCTTCTTTCCCTTTCCTGGAGCACTGTCCATAGTTCCTAGTACCTTCCCCTTCTTGGGCAGTTTGGGTGGGCCATTTTTCTTTCTACTTGCCTTATTTAGACACCTGTGGGTAGAAATAATGTCTAACTAGATACCGGTGGGAGTACCTGGGAGTTTACAATTTAGAGCAATGCTACATAATGTGATAATTAGAGTAATTATCTCATATCAAGATCCGAAGCTGAAAAGGGACTTTTAAGTTCAATGAACACATTAAAAGCCTCGTTAGCAGCTGGTATCCACTGACAGAATTTCTCTAACAATGACAAGACACAATTCCCAGTCTATATTCTGGAAAATAAAAATTTAATGCTTAAGTTGTTCAAAGTTGATGTGCTGTCTAGTCAAAGCCCATATATGTCACACACACACACACACACACACATAATAAATATTATAATCAGCTGTTTAACAACAATAACAAAAAGCACTTAACCATACTAAGGATTTGAGAAAATCTGAACTTTGATAAAATCATCAAAAAACAATTTTTGGAAAGCATTACATGATCTTCATGTAATTTTTAGAGTTCTGTCTATATTCCTTCCAAAGGAAAAACAAAAACAGTTCTTAATCATCTTAGCTTTATCAACATGAGAAATTCAACAAAGCCCAAGTAAACTTCAATAATATTTTGATAGATCTACTTAGTGGATATAAATCTGAGCAAACAGAACCAAAGAGAATTGGTTTATTTTCTTGTTTGGATCCTTTTTTTTTTATATATATAAAATAAGGATGATCATAGCACCTACTCCTAGGATTATCATAAGGATCAACTCAATTCATCTGTGTATATACTCTGAAGTGTGGTGCACACTACATGTGAATGAAATAAAAGAAATGGCAAACATGTGATAGAAAACATAAGGCTGCCTGACCAGATATTATTTCACTAGTAAGTTTTACGGTGTTCTTATAAATTTCATTCAGAACAATGCCCAAACGTTGAGATAACATATATGTAACATAAATTCACCATTTAACCATTTCTAAGTGTACAATTCAGTGCATTAAGTACCTTCACATTGTATGCAACTGTCACTACTACCCATCTCTAGAACTTCCATCTTCCCAAATTGAAACTCTGTATTCATGAAACACGAACTCCCAGACCCACCTCCACCTGGCCCCTGGCAACCACATTCTACTTTGTTTCTATGAATTTGACTATTTTCTTTTTTTAATTTATTTTGGGGGGCGGGAGGTGTTGGAGAGAGACAGAGGGCAGGAGGGGGGGAGGGAGGGAGAGGGGGAGAGGGAGAGAGGGAGAGAGGGAGAGAGGGAGGGAGAGGGAGAGAGGGAGGGAGGGGGGGAGAGGGGGGAGGGGGGGAGAGAGAGAGAGAGAGGGAGGGAGGGAGGGAGGGAGGGAGGGAGGGAGAGAGAGAATCCCAAAAGACTCTGCTCTGTTAGCATGATATCTGACGAGGGGCTCAATCCCATAAACTGTGAGATCATGACCTGAGCTGAAACCACAATCAGATCTTAACTGACTGAGCCACTGAGGTGTCCCTGAATTTGACTACTTTTGATACCCCATATAAGTGGAATCCTTAGCATTTGTCCTTTTGTGACTGGCTTCTTTCACTTAGCATGATGCCCTTAAGGTTTATTAATATGACAGGATAGGACAGGATTTCCTTCCTTTTTAAGCCTGACTATGATCTCACTGTATTGATACACCACATTTGGTTTATCTATTGATGGATGTTTGGGTTGCTTCTCCCTTTTGGCTGTTGTAAATAATGCTATTATAAAAAGAGGTGTCCAAATATCTGTTTGAGTGCCTGCTTTCAGTTCTTTGGGGTATAGACCCAGAAGGGGAATTGCTGGATTACATGATAATCCTATTTTTAATTTCCTTACAAATTTCATTTTAAGATCTGAAGCAACAGTGTGTTTCTGTAGAGTGAAACACAGATTTTATTAAAAGCAAGATGCTTCGTAACATATAAAAATATTCAGTATTTGCAAACGACTACAAGTCCAGATGCTATAAATAAAGTATAGTTCATTTAAAAAGCATTTAAAACATGTAAAATACAGAGCGTTGAGAGGCAGTGATGTCTATTCCTAACCTTTAATGAGCAGTTTTGAGTTTTCCTGCTGTTCAAGAGGAAATATGAGGCCAAGCAGTGGCCATTGGAGAGTATTAACATTTTAACCTCAGAATATGTTTTATAAAAAAAAAAAAAGAAGAAGAAGAAGAAAGAAACCCTTTTATCCCAGAGAAAGTTGCTATTCCCAGCTAATCCAAATTCCAGAGTTTTCTTCTTCTAATATTGACTTTGGACTGATTTGCTGCTCAAATGGGTAATACCGGCAATTAGGATATTTCTGGTAGGTATAATCCGGACAGCCCGAACTGATGACCACTGAGTAATTCAGATCGTCTACCACTTTGCTCAGTGGTTGAGCCGTGAGATGCTCTGTAACTCCCGGTGAGTGTTAAGTGGGGGTATCCGGAACATTCCTGGAGAGGCTGCCTCTGAGCCCGTTTGCTGTTTGTCTCCTGGATCTCCGATGGGGGCAGGTAGCATCAAACCACACACACAAACACTACTTGAACCATCCAGGTATGACTACCAGTGACTGCTGTATCTAAACAATAGAAGCTAAGGTGGACCTTTCTAAGCAAAGGAAGGATTTCAGGTCCCACAATCCTGTGAACCAAAATGGGCAGGATGGCAAAGTACTGTGTCATTAGCTTACTTTACTTTAAATGCTCCATAAGAATTATTTTTAAAATGCCCTAGCAGGGAAGAAGTGAGACATGGTGTTGGCGGAAACCCAATCAGAACACCTCAGGAGGCTATTCTTGCTCCTGGTGGAACGGCTTACCAGAAAAAAACGTGGGGAGCGGAATTAGGAAGCCCACTTACACATTAAGTTGGCAATGCCTGGCTCTTGCGTTAGCTGTTTGTAGTAAGACGTGTCCTATGCTAGGTACGCGTCAGCACTGGGTGTGTGTGTCCAGTTCTAGGTGGAAAAACTATGAGGGTTTCAAAGTGCTTTGAAAATACGTGCTATCCAATCAGGTCTTTAGCTGCACTGCTCATCTGATAGCAGAAAAATACTGAGCATGAGTTCTGGAGCTGAATCCATTTTCCACCACTTACTACATGGCTGAGAGCAATTAATGACTACCCCTAAGCCTCAGTTTCTTCATTTATTCAATAGGGAGAATAATTGCCACTCTGTAGGGTCTTTTGATGAGGCTAAATGCCATGATAAGCAAAAGTGCTTAGCACAATGCCTGGTGTGTGGTAAATGTTCACCAGTCTATGTTTATGCCCTGCCTTTGGTAGTAAAGTGGGGATGGGAAGGACATATAGTTTTTCTTTCTTGCAATTCCATTGGAATCGGACTACTTAAGGACTACTGCCTATTTTGGATGGCAGGTAGGTGCATAAGAAAATGTACTTGCTTGGATTTTTTTTTCTTTTCTTACATAAACATGAGATATTCCTTCTCATTCCAGCAGACACCTAAAAGAGTCTCTCTGTTAAGCAGAGAGATGCCTTAAACCTTCCAGAAAGCTAGATTTTGGAGCTAATCTGGGTCTATTTCCCAACTCTGGAGAAACGACTGCCAGCTCAACATTATGGTGCTTAATGTAAATGGAAAAGGATGCAGGAAGTTCCGTGTCTACCTGAGCACCGAACCCCTTGGGCGATGAGCCCCCACATGAAGTTGGCACAGTATTCACACCAGTGTGGGCCTCGGAACGTGTGGACCTGTGATCCAAAAAGAAGAAAAATGTGAGAACATTCATTTAGTTGAAGGCAGGTGGCCTCAGACATGAAATACATAACTGATGTCAAGAAACAGAGACCTCAGTGGGAGTGAATATCCCTCCCTGGGCCTTTTCTTTCCAGTGAGGTGGGGTTACAAACAGACCAGAGAAAATAAAGATATGCTTTGATCTTTGAAAATCCTCCCCGGCCCACCGTGCCCTAGGCCAGAGTTACAAAGGAATGTGGAGCGACAGTAAGATTATAGGGCCGTGCCATCAGCTAAGGAATGAGATGCTCACCACCCCAAACAAGGCACCATGTAGACAAACCCAAGATAGCCTGGGCCAGTCACTATAACCTGCATTTAGCTCAGCAAGTTCTGGAAGGCAGAACTCAATTACTGTGTCCTTTTGACCAAAGTTGCTCCATGTGGAGAATATCCAGGCAGGTATAAATAAGACATGATTATGGGAAAATTAAAAGCTTCTAAGTCTTTGAGCCACTTCCCCCTCAAAAGAAAAACAAAACAAAACAAAACACACACAAAAACCCAAAAACCAAGACCAGGCATTAAAAAGAAGAGTTGGCTGAAAATGAAGGCTACCAATAGGGTCTATAGAATTGCCTTCCTCAGAGACAGGGTCTGGATTCAGCACGCCCGGGTGTGGCCAACGCGTGTGTAAACTGAAAGTCCTTTCTGATTGGCCAAGGCCCAAGTCTCATTGGTTAATGCCCCACACCATTAAATATTTTGAATATCATGAATATGATGGTTTTATCTTTAGTTATTCAGGTACAGGTCCTCTTGTGACTAGACCATGTGGTAAGGCATGATTTAAAAAACAAAACAAAACAAAACACATTCTCTAATACCAGTGAGCTTCAAGACACAGAACCAGGAGATTCCTTGAAAGCAGACGTGGCCATGGTAGGCCAAACTCCATAAGAGGAGGTCTACTTGGAGACATACAAACCTACTTTTACAAATTAAAATATTATGAGACATTACTAAGGGTTTTGAAAGTTTTAAGCCTCATCAACAAATAAAAGAAATGCAGACAATATTATTTCTTTAGCAGACTGGGAGGCCAGTATACTACTTTTACTGAACACAAAAAGATACGAGGATGACAACTATGATACCATTTGGGAAGATGATCATCGGAGCAACAGTTTTATTTTTTTTAATTAATTTTTTTAACGTTTTAGTTATTTTTGAGAGGCAGAGAATGAGCAGGGGAGGGACACAGAGAGAGGGAGACAGAATCTGATGAGATTGGGTGCATTCAGGGTGGTATGGCCATAGACTGGGAGACATAGAATCTGAAATAGGCTCCAGGCTTGGAGCTGTCAGCACAGAGCCCAACCCGGGGCTCGAACCCACAAACTGCAAGATCATGACCTGAGTCGAAGTTGGCCGCTTAATCAATAGAAGCACCCAGGCGCCCCTAAGGCTCTACTTAAAAAAAAGAAGAAGAAAAAAAGAGAGAGAGAGAGAGAGAGAAAGAAACATCAGGGGCGCCAGGATGACTTGAACAGGAGAGTGTGCAACTTTTTTTTACTATTAAAAAAAATTTATTTTAATTTTGAGAGAGAGAGAAAGCACAAGCAGGGGAGGGGCAGAGAGAAAGAGAGAGACAGAGACAGGATCAGAAACAGGGTCCAGGTTCCAAGCTGTCAGCACGGAGCCCGATGCGGGGTTTGAACTCACAAACTGTGAGATCATGACCTGAGCTGAAGTCGGCACTTAACCAACTAAGCCACCCAGGCGCCCCAGAACATACAACTTTTGGTCTCAGAGTCATGAGTTTGAGCCCCACGTTGCATGTAGGGTTTATTTAAAATTAAAATAAAATATAATTTTAAAAACATCATTTTGAGATCTTTATTGATTTATATATGCCAGTAACTGGATATACATAAAGTGGGAAACAGAACAGACCTAGTTCCTGTCTTCCAGAACTCACAGACTTGTAGAGAGAGTGCACCAGTTAAAGAAAACAAAAAACAATTTATGACCATGTCTTCTAAGCAATGAAGCTAAGTTACAGTAGTCTTTGTTGTTATTTTAAAAAAATTTTTAATGTTTTTATTTATTTCTGAGAGAGAGAGAGAGAGAGAGAGAGAGAGAGAGAGAGAGAAAGACAGCGTGAGGAGGGGAAGGTCAGAGAGAGAGGGAGATACAGAATCTGAAGCAGGGTCCAGGCTCTGAGCTGTCAGCACAGAGCCCGACGTGGGGCTGGAACCCACGCACCATGGGATCATGACCTGAGCCAAAGTTGGACACTTAACTGACTGAGCCACCCAGTCGCCCCTATAGTAGTCTTTTGGTATTTCAGTTTATCACATGCAAACTGCCCAGTATAGTATTTCTGCTTTGAAAAACAATGGGAAAAAAAACACCTCTCAGAATTGTTTTTAGTAAAAATGGGTAACTGTGCTGTCAGGAAAGGACATTCAGCTATGACAAAGCCTCCTTGCAGGAATGCTGAGAATCTATCCCAGGGAGCGCTTTCACCCTCACAAAGCCAAGATGCCAGAGTTCATTCAGAGGCTCGCTTGGACTCAACGTGGTACTAAAAGAATCCCTCAGTAAGGGCTTCTGTTGGTATTTGAGCATTTTCCCTAAGTTTAGCAATCCAACAATTCTTCATATTTTACCAGAAAGACTAAAGGGATGGTGTGGTTAATAATGGTAACAAAGTTAGTTGACTGTTCATATACTGTTGAAATTCCAAGGTCCATAAGATAAAATGTGTGGAAAGGGCTATAAAAGAAAACAGAAGGTTGTTACTAGAGAGACTTAAGAGAGTCCCCAGTGTTATCCACAGTGGTCAGGAAGGCTTCTCTTGAAAGGTGACCTCGCTCAGTTTGAAGAAGGGAGAAGAGCCAGTCTGGTGGCAGCAGGGTTGGAGAACATTCCAGGCAGAAGGAAGCTAGGAGGCCCTGTAAGCAAAAGAGTTTGCTATGACTGAGACCTCAAGGCCAGGGTGGCCAGAACACCAGAGTCAGGGGTGAGAACTAGGATGAGGCTGAAGGTAGGAAAGGGCCTCGAAGGTTTTATTAAGGAGTATACAATTTCTTTTAATCTAGGTCCAATATGAAGCTCTTAAAGGACTGTAAGTGGGAAGAGGATTAAAAAAAAAAAAAAAAGATATTCTGACCACCATGTTGAAAATGGATGGGAGAATTTTGAAAGAGATTGAGAAACCAGTAGTAGTTTCTAGTTGAGAAATGATGGAGGTCCAAGATCAGGGTGCTGGAGGTGGAGTTGGGAAGTGGAGGGATTTTGAGGTATATTTTAAAGACAAAATTCGTAAGACTTTATATGTTGACTGTGGCTCTTGGAGAAAAAGAGGGACGGAGAATGACTCTTAGAGTCTAGCTTTAGAAACCAAGTGGATGGTGATGACATTTGCTGAGACAAGGAAGATACTCTTTTGGGGAGAAATTCAAGAATTCAGCTCTGGACAGTTTAAGTTTAAAGGTGCTGAGAGCAGGAATTCCCATAGAATTCAATAGCTCAGAGAAGTAAGGGATGGAGGCATACATTTGGCCATTCTGACAAATAAATGGTAACTGACATTGTGTAGATGGACAAAAACTATTAGGGATAGAGAGTAGAAAATGAAGAAAGTAAGAGTTCAACCCAAGGTCTCTGTGTGCTCCAAGACTTAGAACCAAGAGAGTCCAGGGCTTCAGAAGCCAAAAGGTGACCAGTATTTGGGGGAAGGAGTGGTCAACCACATTCAATGCTAGGAAGAGATCCAGTTAGATGAGGACTGAACACTGAAGTTCAGGCACACGAAGTTATTGGTAACCTTGGCAAGAGCAGTCTCTTGGCATCGGTGAGGGCAAAAGTCATACTCAAGTGACATGAAGAATAAATGGGAGGTGTGGAAGTGGAGGAATGCGTAGGCAAATTTGTCAAGAAATTTGGCTACGATGTTCAGCAGAGCAATGAAATAGCTCCAGGGAGATATGAGGTCAAAGAGAATTTTTTTTCTTCATAAAAAAATGAGAGACATTAGGGCATGTTCCCTTGCTGATGGGATTGATGCAATAGGCATAAGAGGCTGGAAATGGAGAGCAGAGGGAAGTGAAGAACAGATGATCTTGAAAAACTGAGAGATGGGGTGTAGGTCATACATGGAAGCAATATTCAAAAAGAGCAACAGTTGAGATCTTTCTAGAATTAGTAAAAGCACAACACCTTTGGATTCGGAAAAGCTAATTGAATCTCAAGCACGGTAAGTTAAAAAGGTATGCTAACCTATATAGACTCTAAAGAAACTGCAGAATACCAAAGGACAAGCAAACTCCTACAAAACAAAACAAAACAAAACCTACCCCGGTTATTTTTGCCAAAGGACAGCAATTATGATGAAAACAGTTCTGTTCAGCAAAAAGATGCTAGTAGATTATGGAACAATTTCATCAAAGAGCTCAGAGAAAATGACTGCCAACCTAACTAACTTCTGTACTCCAGAGTGAGGATGAAATAAAAATATTTTCTAGACAAATGCCAAGAGTGTTCACTCACAGATCCTTACTCAGAGAAATACTATGGGGGATACAGGTCTACAGGAAGCATACTGAGCCTAGTGGCAAGAACAGGATTCAAGAAGCCACGGTGAGCAAGAAATTGGCACGAGGGGTCGATCTAATCAAGCTCTGTCTGCATATAACAATAACAAGATGACTAATTTCAGGGAACTTAAAAACAATGTGAAAAAATGGCTTGGAAGATTGGAGGGGCTTTGAAAAGTCAAAACATTCTGTGGTCCTCATCGTTTGGGGTATGTAAGTAGAGCTACTCATTAACTGAGGAAGATTTTAAGTTAATTACACATGTATTAGAATTTGGAGTATACACAAAAAGGGTGGGATGGAATCTAGAAAATGCACAAGGGAAAAAGAAATAAAGATTTGATCAAGCCAATGAAAAGGAAGAAAGAAGAAAACAGCAATAAAAAAGTACAGTGAAGGGAGGGGGTGAA